ACTGTGAAAACTAACCTATCCATATTAATTATTGCTCACTCCACCCATCAAATTCCGCACACAATCTAAAGTTCACAAGGACTCTAGATTAACACTCATTTTCTCGTTTTCAAAAGAAACGAAAAAGATTTTAAACTTGTAACAAAGTCTATTCACCCCCCCCCCCTCTAGACTTTGTATTTCACCACTTTGGGACCACCAAACCCTAATTTCTTCAGATCTTCTCACTCAAATTTCTGAGAAAATGAAGATTGTTGGCGCTAATATCCATTTCCAGAAGTTGGAAGCCAAGTGCTCCTCACCAACGTTCTATCAATCCTATCTGGAGATGATTGCTGCTCAAGAGCTCTCCGAATTTCTTCATATGGAGATTCGATTCAAGTATGAGAACGAAGTTCTTGAATTCTACAAGAATGGAAAGGTCAAGACTGTCAAATCGAAGAAGGACCCACACAGGACGATTCAAGTCATCAATTCCATTGTTGGAGGGACCAAAGTGAAGCTTTCGCAGAAGAAATTGGGAGAAAAGCTTCACCTTCCCAATTCTGGAGTTGAAATTGGGAGACTTCCAGCCAAGAATCTAGATTGGAATATTATTGGAATTTCTGGGCAAGCTCCCTCTGGCCTAGCGAAGAAAGCTGATCTGAACAACGACTACAAGCTAGTCCTTGAACTGGTCATCGCATGCCTCGAGTGTGGAAGTGGAGGACATGCTGATGACATCACCCAAGAGAGGGCCTTCATCATCAATTCCCTCATTACCATGTCTAAGGTAAATTGGGCTGCACATTTCTTCAATTCCATCTCAAAGCATCTGGGAAAACCCAACCAGAAATACCTTTGTCAAGGTCTGTACATTGGACATATCTTGGAGTCTTGGGTGCTGCTTCTGAAGGAAAGAAGTATGAAGCCAGATATTGGCTATACTACCTGTCTTCCAAAGGGGAAAACAGACCTGGTGCTAGCACAACTGCAGAGGATGAAGCCTCTTCAGACAATTTTCCTGTAACACCCTAATCCGTCCAAGTTTGCAGCCCCTTTCGGACTAAAGTATTAACTTGGTAATCGTAAAATTAAAACTTTTCAAACACTTTTATTTATCACGATAATATTTTTCATAACATATACAGTGCGGAGTTTTCAATATTGCGGAAGCTTAACAAATCATAATTACAAACATAATTTATTTATGTTCCTTAATTCAAAACCATCACATCCATTCCGACAGTCTCGCCTCCGTCTGCCTCCAGAATCATGTCACATCATTCTTTCTATTAACCTGCGTGTAGCAAATAAAACATACTACACGCTCAGCGGTGAAGCTGAGTAAGCATATCTAATGCGTCGAACATCCATACAAATTGAATCCAAATTCATAATCAAATCATTTGATATCATGCACAGAGTATTCAGTTCAAATATACAATAATCAATATTCAACATTCGTCATTCAATATTCATATTCAACATTCAACATCTTCATTCAATAATATCCTTAAACTATTCTTAGTCTAAGGTCAATCTTTTTGATGTTTACCAACTCTTAAACTAGTTCTAGTTGAAGGTACTTCTATCCAACTCTTAAGCTAGGTCATTAGTTTAAGGTACATATATTACGATTGATTTACCAACTCTTAAACTAGCCTTTGCTTAAGGTCCAAATCCAGAAAACCGAATAGTAGGATACTAACTGTCGGGTTGGGTGGCATCCCCAAACGAGTTCCTCTAGTTTGGTTATGGATCCCGTACGTACGTTTTAACCCAGGCCACCGAATATTCATAATTATACCCGCAAGGCCTATTTCTAACCCTCTTAGAGGTCTTCTAGATAGTCTTAGAAACCAACGTCAACCTAGGTATATCTTAGAGTTCTTCTAGATATCCTTACAAATCAAATAATTTCATAATCATCAACATATTCATATCAATTCATAATTTAATCTTCAATAATCATTTTAATCAGTAGTTTCATCAAGTCATAATCATTCATCATAATCATCAATCAACATAACATTTGATAACAAACAGCGGCCTAGTCTCGAGTGTTAACACCCGAACTTACCGTCATGCATCACATAGTATTTTATATGCCAAAAACATCATTTTTATTATACAAAATCATATTTATATTATGCATAATTAATTGGTATCAAAAATAGGATTTCATAGTTCAAAAATCATGTTTTCTAAACAATAATTGATTAATATATGCTAGGAAATTCAATTATTAACTATTAGCTTCATTTTCTTCAATAGTGTAGGGAGACAGTCTACTGTCACTTCTGATAATCTACTGTCTGAT